GAGATATACTCTATCACGAATGTAACCACAAAGCATGGCCGCAGTGCCCATGTATCACAACGGCCAAAGGCACATAACATCATCAGCAACGGCCAACAGGCCACCTAAGGCAAGGACATTCATCGTCCTCTGCCAACAGTTAACCATAATGGGCTCTTCGTCCAGGGACACGAAAGCCAGTCAGCGACGGCCAAAAAGAGTGCGCAAGCACCCTTACCGGCCACCCAAAGGAAAGGACACCATCGTCCTCAAAGCAAGGTTCAACCTCAACAGCCTCATCGGCCCAAATGCAAACCTCAACCATCAACGTCCAAGAAAGGGAAAACGTGCCTTCAACGGCCACCATCGAATCAGGGCACTCATCGTCCCCAAACGAACACATCAAGGAAACAATGGCCTCCCCGTCCACAGCGAGGAGCAGGCAACGGTCAAAGCACAGAACATGATCACCAAAATGGAAACAGCGCCAACGCCGCAACAGCTAACGGCCTGGGAATGCCCGCATCGGCCAAAAGCACCAAAGCACGGGAATCTACTCTCCTTCACTTCGTCTACGTCTCATCTTAGAGAGTGGGGGACTCCTGATGGAGTATATGGGTCCGAGCCCCCGGACCCACATACTCAGAAGAACAGAAAGCACAAGACACAGAGTGGCGCCCTCGTCGGCCAAGGGACCCCCGTCGGCCGAAAAGGTGCCAACCTAGATTATGGTCCTGAGCCCAAGGAACCCGGGTGCCCTCGTCGGCCGTGCCCTCGTCGGCCGTGCCCTCGTCGGCCGTGCCCTCGTCGGCCACGCCCTCATCGGCCACGAAGACCTCACAGAACCGAATTCTACACTTACTCATTTGTACAGCCCATTAGTGGCTTTGTATTCGGCCCAGTAGCGGTCCAGTTGTAAATGGGCCTCCCAAGCCCAAGGCTTGGGGGCCCAACCCTTATTTTCTCTATAAATACTCCCCTTGGGAGTAGTTATAGGGGTGACAAATTCATTCTATTGAAGCATATTATTGGACTTCTCTCTCTAGCTCTCACTTCTCTCTAGATATACTCTATCAGACTGTGATTCATTTTTCTATTTTATCACTGATTTTTTTATATTTTATACAGAGTACTCTCTCCGTCCCATAAAATTCTTCCCACTTTCCTTTTTAGGCCGTCCTAAAAAATTCTTCCCACTTACCATTTTCGGATAATTTGTGTGATTCACATTCATTTCACCTTTTTCTTACACAACTACAACCACAAATTTCCACTTTATTCCGCTTTCTTAATCTACGTGCCAATTCAAAGTAGGAAGAATTTTCTGAGACGGAGGGAGTAGTAATTTTTAAAAAACTTTTTAAATAGTTATATAAAAATACTAAAGCAAAAAAATGAATGAATTTATATGTGTGTGCTCACATAAATGTACATATGTTAAAAATGATAGTGATAATAATTTTACTCCCTCCGTCCCGAAAAGATTTGCCAAATTGGCTTTTCTTGGTCAATGAGTATCAACTTTGATCAATGATATTTTTTAATACGGAATTATTTAGAATATGAAAATTATATCAAAATGTTCCTTATTATGCTTGTACTTGCATTTTCTTTTATAGCATATAATCACTATGGGTCATCCGGAAACAGTCTCTCTGTGCTTAGTACAGGGGTAAGACTGCGTACATCCGACCCTCCCTTACCCCACCGTAGGTGGGAGCCTTTGCGGCACTGGGGTAAATGAAAATGAAATGAAATGATCAAAATGTTCCTTATACAAAATATTTTCATAAAAGTCATTGTCCAAAGTTTTTCATCATTGACCAAGAATAGTCAATATGGTGAACCTTTTCGGGAGGAAGTAATATAACATAAAAGTAAATATGATTTTAAAATTCTCCAAATCTAGCTTATTAAAAATAAAAGAAAGTAAGTTACATATATATAGTGTTATACTTCATATCCTTAATGATCATTTTACTTCTTTATCGTTAATTGTAAACTGTTAAGTTACCAACATTTTACTTCAAACTGTTAATGAAAGCGATTGATCATAATAACTAATAGATAAAATCATTTTACCAACAGTTATCAGCTATTAATCAACCGCTAATTGTCCAAATCATAGTTGATATTTTTACTCCTTCACTTATTATGATAAAAAATTGATCACAAAAAGGACCAAAATTTTACAACACTTAAGAGACTACATGCGGGAAATTCTAAAATTGATTAAAAGTGTCGCACTAACACTTAAGAGACTACCAATTTATCTCCGGAGCTTCATTTTTCTAACAATATGTGGTTGGAGTGTTTTTCCTTTTTTTGGTAAATTGTCCTCTCTCTTTTACCAATTTGGTAATTTCACCATTTTTAATTAGATGATAAATAAAAACCAGTCTTTCATCATTATATTCGTCTAAAAATGAAAGGGTGAGATTAGATTTTGGAGTTAAAAACGACAGCAAGGTAATAGAAGCAATGAAGCAAAGTTACTATCTGAATAAGAATACTTGGCCCACTTTTGTGATAGACAAATGTAATTTACTACACAGAAATGGTCAACGGCAAGCACAACCACGAAATTCTGAGAGTGGCGATCCGAAAGATACTGGGAACGAGGGGCAGTTTAGCTAGTTTCTACCTTCTCCACTTCACTACATGGCTTTATATATTTAAATATGATAAATATATGAATATAATACGATTTTGATATCAAAATAAAGATATGCTTTCAGGGAGGGGAGGAATAATTTGATCTTATCATTATTGATTTTAATTTAATTATAAAAACAATAAAAGTTCTTGCTTGTGAAAATGGGTATACCTAGTTGCGTCATGGTGATGGGGCTGCTATGGCTGTTGGGTGAGAGCACGGTGGCAGCGGGAGGTGGCAACGGCGGCAAAAGCGTGACGTATGATCAACGGTCGTTGATCATCGGTGGGAGCAGAGACATCTTCTTCTCCGGCTCGATTCATTACCCTCGCCTGCCGCAGGAGATGTGGCCGGACATCTTGAAAAAAGCTAAGGAGGGTGGTCTGAATGTCATCCAGACATATGTCTTTTGGAACATTCATGAACCTATTCAAGGCCAAGTATATATATACAATTCCAACACTCCATCCACTAATTCCCATGCATATGCGGAGCATATACAATTATATATGCTCCGTATTTGCACACTAATTTTATAACAAGACTAGAGCAATTCTATACACATCATCGCCCATGGACGCTAACATGTATAGGACGGTTTACTTTGTCAAGTTTTGATTATAATAATGATAGTAAACTTTAAACAATAATTTTAATTATTATATTTGTATGAAAAATATATATGATGATGATATATGAAATTGGACGCATGCAGTTCAACTTTGAAGGCAACTATGACGTGGTGAAATTCATTAAGATGATTGGGGACATGGGCATGTACGTGACCCTCAGGATAGGACCTTACCTCGAGGCCGAATGGAACATGGGGTACGTACCTATATATGCATGCAAGTATATATGCGCAGTATATTTTATACGTAGTATAATCACTACTAGAGAACGGGCATTTTGTTGATTTTAACCTTTTCAGTTTTCACGTCAGTTTTCTAGAGAGACGTTATAGGTATAATTATTTCACATAATAACTCGAGCTCTAGTATAATGTATTTCAAAATGTTAGGGTTCATTTTTACCCGGGTGATAAAAAGCTCTCTCACACACTTCTGGATTCTGGTGCATAAGTTCTGATCGACTTTCAAAATACTCTACTTGAAAATTAAAATGTTAGGCAAAATAGGATTGTTTTGTATGAACATTTTACGCATGTATGTTTAATGAAAAAAAGACAACAATGCTTCGGCTACAAACCCTTTTACACGCTGATCAAATAGTCTTTGAACAAACAATATGACAACGGTTTTGTAAAGGAAAATGTTTTTCGCACAGACAAAAAATTATCTTTGTCTTTAACCGTTTAAAATTGTATATGACACAAACATTTTATTTGTCCGTACAAAAACGTTTTTCTTCGCACAAGGCCGAACAAAATGACCGACTTGTAAAATGACGTCTACTAATAACATTGCCGCTAGTATATACGAGGTGAAAAAGCAACAATATTATACTCCTATAAATAGAGTAGAGTACTAATCAAGGCCGTGTCTAGAGAATAGAGATAGCCTAATGATGAATTGACGATGATACATACATGGAGTAATGGATATAGAAATATCCCGAGTTTGAATCCCGACAACTGTGGTTATAGCTGACTATGCTAAATGGTAGGACTTCTTCAAGTACTGAGGACAAAACCCCACTCTTTATCTGTCAGATTGAGATTGTAGTTCAATTTACATCCTTCCAACGTACCGTCCGATCAGAAGCTCTTAGGGAGGGGGTGCCATCCTTTTTTTATGAATATAGAAATATCCATATCAAAACACGGCATTATCTCTTCAAATAGGACCACTGTTGCTTTTTTCCAAATATGCTTAAAGAGAATTGCTACTCCGTATTACATTTTAAAAAACACACGTGGTAATAGCCATAAATCTAATTCACTAGTGCAAATTAAAAGCTTTTGATGATCTCATACTCTTGTAGTTAATTAAGTAAATGCATTTCATTGAAAAAAATAGACAATTTAATAAATTAATTAGAGACTATTTAATAATTTAATCTGACCTGATTCAATGAAATCTGACTAAATCAAACCAGATCAGATCAGAACAAATCTAGTCCAAGTATAATAAATATGGAGTAATATTGCACTCAATGATGTATAATATTTTAAATTGATTATGTGGACAAAAAAATGGTAGATTATACGGTACCCATAAGGTATCTTACCTTTGTGCACGTGGACTAATGAGAATGTAGTAGTTGAATTATTTAAATCTAAATTAAAAATGATAAAATGATGTGGTCCAATAAAATGAATAGTAGGTAAGGTATACCATTTTTTAGAAGTGGCGAACTTGTATAAAAAAATCCAATGTACTTCGTATAAGCTTTTACCAAAGTACGAGAAGTTTTGCACACGAATTGAGGGGGCAATTCAGCGTTAGCTTTGAGCTGAATCGAAACGAGGTAGACGGATAGGAGTGAAGCGAGCCGGCAACGAACGAGGACAGAGTACAGCGAGTGGCGAGCCGTCTGGGTCACGGCGGGGTCGCTCGCTGGAAATCCTCATTTGGCGCTGTACGATGTCAGGCAAGATGGCTGTGGTGGGCGAGCTCCAATCTGGAACCTGTGGAATGGAGGCAGCGAGCTTCGGCAAATATAGCATCCTGTGCTTCATTTTCAGGGAAGTTGCAACAGAGATTGCGAAGGATCGGTCTTTGATGGTGGGCCTTCATTTCGGCTATAGCGCCTGAGAGTGAGTCGGAGGAGGACCGAGCTCGGCTGATGGCGTCCTAGCAGGTATCACCGGAGGGAAGAGTGGAGATACTGGAGGCGGAGGTACTGATTTTCAACAGATTGTAGTGGCGGCCGGAAAAACGTGAGAGAAGTGAGGAGAGATTGTAGTGCTGATAATGTGTTGTAGGGAGAATGGTGCCGGTAGCTTCATTATCATATGTCTTTTAAACAGGAAGTTACAGTTTAGAAGGACGGGCCAATGACTCATAATACATGGTTTACATACAATAACCCTATTAATATAACAATAAGTAGAATTTCCTTCAACAAAACTTCTTTTATTAGTCCTATATTTATAACCTTTGTTTATTTCTTACTCTTATTTTAAGCAATTTCATTAGTAACAGTATAATCATCTTTAACGTACTACCTTTTGAAATGGTGGGTGCAGAGGATTCCCATACTGGTTGAGAGAGGTACCCAACATCACATTCCGTTCTTACAATGAGCCATACATGGTAAGTACACATGAATAATTTTTACACTATATATGTAACTCTTTGGACTTATTTTTCTCAAGCTCTGTGTACATGTATGCTGATATTACTGTGGATGCAGTTTCACATGAAGAAGTACTCGGAGATGGTAGTGAACATGATGAAAAAGGAAAACTTATTTGCACCCCAAGGAGGCCCCATCATTTTGGCCCAGATTGAAAATGAGTACAGCAATGTGCAAGCTGCATATAGGGAACAAGGGAAAAAGTATATTAACTGGGCAGCAGATATGGCTGTTGGTCTCTACAATGAAATTCCCTGGATCATGTGCAAACAAAAGGAAGCCCCCTCTGCTGTGGTATGTATGTATATATTACTCCTACGCCCTACCTTCCTACCCCACACACATTTATACAAGTAGTAGTTTTTCATAAAGTAAAGCTTATTCCCTATTAAAGAAATTTTAATGGTTTAATATTTACGGAGTATCACTTTATTAGTAGTAAAATAGGAATGCATAAGTCGAGTAGTATGCAAGTAGCTTGCAAGCTATATGGTGTTAATTAGTAGGATTAAGAGTAAATTCCCTATATACGATTAAAAGTCATCCCTTGTGCACAAATAGGAGTGAAAACGGATGTATTGTTTTGTAGGAGAAATAACCATTTGCTTTTCCAATTTTAACCTAAAAAACACACATCTGATGGAAGTTTTATCGGGAGAAGATGTATGAAAAAACACAGTTTTGTATGTTTTATAAATAGGATCAAGATGGTCCTATAGTGAAAAAAACATAAAAGGTTCTCTTTATGCATTTCCCCCATGTTTTAGTCCTTTACGGGACAATTTCTTTAGGATTAAACTCCACTCGAATGTCCAAATTCGAGCCAAGTTTGATTTACTTGAAACAATTTATGAGTCGAGTGGGTATGCTCACTCTGTACCTAAATTAAAATTTCACTTTTCTTTCCTAATTACCCATATGGAAAACACATCATGTATTACTCATAGTCTCCACCACATCTTGAATAGTCATATTTGGAAAGGCAACACGCTAACACATAAGTTGTACTATTTTAAAACTTATGAAGTCAAACTAGAAATTTAATTAGGGCAGGTGGATAATGAAGTGCATATATAATGTTCGAGTATTTTCCAGTACATGATGAAGGTAACTTTTGTCAAGGCTTGCACGCAGTTCAAGTACAAAATTATGTACTTGTTTGCTGGTAGTTCAAGTGCATCCCTAATACAAAATAACCAAATATAATTAGCCATATTTATATTACTTCTTTAGTAATTTCTCATAGAGATATGATATAAAAACAGATCAACACTTGCAATGGAAGACACTGCGCAGATACATTCCAAGGCCCAAATGGTCCAAACAAGCCTTCTTTGTGGACAGAAAACTGGACAGCTCAATACAGAACGTTTGGAGACCCTCCCTCCCAAAGAGCAGCCGAAGATATCGCCTTTTCTGTCGCTCGCTTCTTCGCCAAGAATGGAACTTACGTTAACTACTACATGGTACATGCATGCATGATTCTTCTGAATTATTGTTGCAATATAACTTCTTAATAAAAATATGACTAAAGTTACTATGTGTAGCTATAACTTCATGGTCACTGAAGTCTAAAATTGAATATAAGCATATGCCTAGTCACTAAAAGTTATTAATATAGTACGTGACTTCTTATAAGATATCAGAATTTTATCCATAATACATGGAGTATATTTTAGTCATACATATGTCATTATTTCTCAATTTGCTTAATAACATATATATGCAGTACTATGGTGGGACAAACTTCGGACGAACGGCTTCTTCGTTTGTTTCAACTCGCTACTACGACGAAGGTCCTCTAGACGAATACGGGTTGTTTAGGGAGCCAAAGTGGAGTCACCTAAGAGACGTTCATAGAGCATTGAGGTTGGCGAAGAAGGCTTTGCTTTGGGGAACTCAGTCCGTACAAAAGGTGAGCACTGATTTGGAGATCACAGTTTACGAGAACACAAACCTCAAAGTGTGTGTGGCGTTCTTGACCAATAACCACACCACAAAGCCAAACAACATCAACTTCAGGGGGAAAGACTATTTCCTTCCTGAGAAGTCTGTTAGCATTCTTCCAGACTGCAAGACTGTCGTTTTCAACACTGAGTCTGTCGTTTCGCAACATAATGCAAGAAACTTTCATCCTTCCAAGATCGCAAGTAACCTTAGGTGGGAGATGTACAAAGAAAACATTCCCACAGTGGATAACTTATCACAAAAGAGCCAGACACCGCTCGAACTTTATACCCTCACAAAAGACACCACAGATTATGCCTGGTATAGCACGAGGTACAAATACTTAATTAATAATGACATTATAACTATCAACATGCATTCATATGTAGGAGTATATTATTACTCCTATTTAGATAAAACGCCCATATATTAATTCTATATAGGGTGGTTTTTGAAATTTCAATTTCTTGGACTAAGTCACTAAAGTCATTTTTTGTGAAGGAAACATGATGATCTTATTTGTTATTTGTTAATTTTGCCAAGTTTTATTCTTATCATGAACAATTACTTTTATTGATCTAGTTCAATGCAAAACATTTGATCTTATAACTAATGTTCGATTTCATTGATTATTGATCCATGGAAGAATTGAATTCAATCGGCGTGACTTGCCAATGAGGTCCGACATCCTTCCAGTCCTCCAGGTTGCAAGTCTAGGTCATGCTTTGCTTGCATTTGTAAACGGAGAATATGTTGGTACGATAATAAACACTTGTTGCATAAATTATTTGCCTACATATAATTAATGAAATAATTAACTAGTACTACATTGGTTTATCTAAGATGCTCACATGGTTTAGTAGTTGCGAAATGATTATTTAAGAGAACGTGAATTATCAAAATATTAGCCACCTTAGTTTTATACTTCGTACTTTTATTATACCTTTATTACAGAGTATAAGCTATTCCTCGTATCAAGTAGACATTTTGTGATCAAACATGAACTTATCCTTTAATTTTATTTAATCATCAGGACAATCAAAGTGCTCACTGGTTATATTTTTGGTTAAAAATAACGAGTAGTTAATTACTGCTTTGTTGATTATGAATGCTAATATAATGCGTTGTGAATGATTTTGGTAAATAAATAAGGATTCAAACATGGGAATAACATCGAGAAGAGCTTTGTGTTCCGAAAGCCAGTTCAATTGAAGCCTGGAACTAATGACATCACATTCTTGGGCCAGCTTGTTGGTTTCCCTGTAAGTATAAATTTATATCAAATCAATTTCTGTTGATATATGATATATCTAGCTGTGCTATATATTCAATACATAGACCAAAAGTTATATTGCATTTAAATAGTAACATTCATATCACGCCGGTCTAACAGCTCATCAAACAATTTCATGTTTAACGAAAATGAAGTTTATGATCATTAGTATCAACTATTGATTTCAACTTTTAGATTTTAAGTTTGTTTGAAAGTGAACCTTTAACCTCACTTTTAACACTTGTCTAACCGTTGATATTAATTTATAGTAAAAAACACATTTAAACTCTGAAAATTTTAACATTTTGAGGAGCTATTGGAACTAATACTTGATACTAATGAATAAAAGGAATTGGATCATAAACTTCATTTTCAGTAAAACTCTGAAATTGACCTAATGGGAATATGAATGCTAATCTGTGTAGTTAAATACCTATGATTGAAAGCAGTATTATTCATGGGAGCACCCCCAGAACATGTTTTCATTTGGATTTATTTGAGTTTAAATGAAACTTAAAATAGTTTGGAACACATTTAGATAATAATAAAATATACATATACTAAACCTTTTCTAAATTGGATAATGCATAAATAAGCCAAATTAGACTTGATCAGGTCTAAAAAAATACATGAGACTAGAAAATTGCAATGAAAACAAAGGATAACATACATACAACATATAAGCCTTATGGATTTGTGATGAACAAAAGAATAGTGGCGCCTACATGGAGAAGAGGTTTGCTGGACCAAGAGCTGTGACCCTCCAGGGTTTGATGTCTGGAACCCTCGATATCACAATGAACAGCTGGGCACACTCGGTGCGTACCCAATAATTTTAATTTTAATTCCCCTTAATTAAAAATAGTCCAAACAATAACATTTGATTTATTATAATTATTATTGTCTATATGGTCAAAATTGAAGGCTGGTATTTCCGGAGAGAAACTGCAAATATACACAGAAGATGGCGTCGATAAAGTGCGGTGGTCTCCGCTCACTAATGACGCACACGGACCCATGACTTGGTACAAGGTACGTGCTATTGAATTCATTAAATTTTGGTCGAAACGGTTGAATTAACGTTATATGAAAATGTGCTGTCCTACGATTACCGTTATTGGTTTTCACAATTAATTACTCAAACATTATACATAGTATTACTTTAGAATACGAAAAAAATTTGAATGTCATATTTTAGTACAGTAGTACGAAGTATATACTTTGTATTACCAAAATGCTGATTTGTTTTTTCTCAAAGTAATGCTATTATGTTTTAGATTTTACATAAAAAAGAAGTCAAATGAACCATTTGCAGACAGTATAAGTCAAATTGTGAACTTAATTGCACAAGGATAGAGTACACCATACTACTAAAACCATGAACAATTAGAATATGTAAAATATCTACTGCATCATGAGAATTCAAATGATTTTGGTACATCATACTTGGTATTAAAAATAGTAAAACCATTGGAGCTAAGTAAACATAATTGAGAACTCGAAAATTCAATAAAAAGAACTGAAACGTAAAAAGTTTTTCTTAAATATGACCATCATTGTATACAACAACAACAACAACCAAGCCTTTATCCCAAAAGAATTTGGATGACCATCATTGTATGTGTCTAAAAACTAACTTCTTGACTTTTTCTGCTCATGTTTTGCTCCTATTTGCATAATGATTTATATATACCAATGTATACCCTCATAAACTGTTACATTTTAGTCCACTTTAGTGTACAACTATGTTGCACGGAAACGTAAAAATCCTGGGGAAACAGGAAACGTCATCTTCTTTTAGTAGAAAAACAACTATTTGGAGAGTTTCTAAAGAGTTTCCGAAACGGAAATGTACTCTTTCCTGAGAGTTTCCGTGCTACATAGGTGTATAAAAAGTGGAGATAGAGAAATATTTAGCTAGTTACATGCCAAGCCTATGCATATGCAGACATACTTTGATGCTCCGGAAGGGAAAAAACCCCTAGCTCTCAGATTGAGCAAAATGTCAAAGGGTATGATTTGGGTCAACGGCAGAAGCATCGGTCGCTATTGGGTTTCTTTCCTATCCCCTCTCAAACAGCCAACTCAATCGGAGTAAGTAGCAATACGTATAGTATTACTTCATATATATACTTTATTTAGGTAGATGATTGAATCCCTTATTGGGGTCAAATTTAAGAAGTACAAAACACAATGACAATAAATTCTTTTAATTGATAGATGCTCATTCACTTTAGAAAAAGAATCAGTTTTATGTATAGTACAAAGTACAAACAAAGGAGACTCATATTTATGCACATGCAAGTGATGCAACATGTTTTAACCGAGTGATTTCTTAAGAACATTAACAATATTAATAACAGACATTCTATTAATGTAACTAAAACATGAACACTTCTTTAACCCTGAAAAACAATACTACAGTATCTCAAATACATAAAATGTGGAATTAGTTCCTTTTTTTTTAGCATACATAATGTGATAAAACATGGACACCGATGCCGAAGTTTCTCAAATACAATTACATAATCTTTTATTCTTAAATAGAATAAAAACATATTACAGTTTCTCAAATACAATTACATAGCTTTTTAAAAATAATAATGTAAATCTTATGATGTAAATCAAACGTGCAGAGTTATATATTTATCAGAAATAACGGCTTAAATATGACCAAAATAAAAAGGATATATAAAAATAAGACTTGACAATATTATCAATTTTCAGTGACCATATTATAATGTACTTTCTATATGTTATATTTGCAGGTATCATGTACCAAGAGCATTTTTGAAGCCAAAAAATAACCTGATGGTGGTGCTGGAGGAGACCGGAGGAGATCCAGAGAGCATAGAGGTGGTGACGGTGAACAGAGACACCATCTGCAGCTACGTGTCCGATCACTTCCCCCCGCATGTCAAGTCATGGGAACGGAAAGGCGACGAGTTCCGGCAGATCACCGAAGACGATTTGAAACCTGCTGCCCGGCTCACCTGCCCGGACGACAAGATCATCAAGAAGATCGATTTCGCCAGCTACGGTGACACCCTCGGCGCGTGTGGGAACTTCGCTGTCGGGAACTGCACCGCTCCCAACAGCGTGAAAGTGGTGGAGAAGGCATGTTTGGGGAAGAACCACTGCCGAGTTCCGGTAGAGAAGAGTTTGTTCGAGGATTCTTCTTCTTCATCGTGTGCTGCCCTTGGTTTCAGGACTCTGGCCATCCAAGCAAGATGCAGCCGCCAGGGTAAGGATAATGAGTAATTACTTAGGCACACTAAATCTAAGCACCGCCAGATCAGATGGTTCTGCTCCTCTTGCTGCTGCTTTTCTTTCTTAGACATTACTAACTTATAAGCAACTTTTTCCATATTTGGTGTACCTAGCTAGTTTTTTTGATTCGTGGGAAAAAAATTTCCTGTACGTAGATGGTTGAAATAAACATGTACTAGTCAAAGATACAGTAGTTAGAGAGAGAGACATGATAATTGATTTGGTTGATGTATAAGAAAAAACATTTCAGATCAATAAGTCCTTTTGCTGTTCACAGTTCAACAAATGAATGAGCAACTACAACCATTTCAAAATTAAGTAGATATTGCTCAAAATAGGATTAAGTATATTTTATTTCCCATATATGACTTATTTTGTCCTCTTAAAAAATAAGTTGATCAAAACTTCTCAAGATAGGAGTAGATGAATCATATTTTGAGAATGAAAATGATCATCTTATTTATGAAATCTGTCATTGTTTTAGTTATATTTAGGGAACTCTCCAAAATTAAGCAGTACTAGATTACTCGTGCAATTTATAGCGGGGCTTTAATATCTTCAAGTACACATTATTATAAGCTCAAAAGAATCAAAAGAAAACTGATACCACGAAATAGTTAAATGATCTTTATTTGCCTTTGCAACTAACAGCGTGATGATAGTTAAATGCTCGTCTTTGATCAGGTTTAAAAGTTGATCAAAACCAGAAAGCAGAAAATGACATTCTTACAGCATAACTTTACTATCCATTTCAACTATACTAGAAATTAATTAAACAACAAACAGATTGAACAAATAAATCACATGATGGAGCAAAGAGGAACTGAAGAATTTGCATCTTCATACTCAACGACCTGCTGCATCGGATACGACGGCGCGTATTGTGCCGGTGGCAAATAACTCCCTCCAAAATGGTTGGCTTCCCGACTATAATCATATCCCGGCAATCCCCTTGCGTCCGTTTGGTATTTTGAAGATGCTAGGCAAATAAAATTTAGAAGCAAATGAATTTTGAATTAAAGATTGCTTCAGTCAATTACTATTATTCCTTAATAGTATGGAGTGCTTATTCGGTATATGGAAATTTCTCAATATAGTTTAGGATCAAAACATACTTCTCAAAATAGGACTAAGTATGTTTTATTCTCTAAATAGGACTTATCCTATTAAAAGAACAAGTTGATTAAGACTTCTCAAAGTAGAAGTAAATGAGTCCTATTTTGGGAATAAAATAATGATAGTTCTGTTTATGAACTTTTTCATTGTTTGATCTATTGAGGGAATTTTCTCGTAGCTATAACTTACTGCTCACAAGTTTAGCTGATCCTATATATATGATTTGATAAAAATTTGCTAAGGAGCTAGTTTAGAAATATAATTAAAATGATGTAAACAGGTTATGTTTGAAACAAGATTATAGTTTAACTCGAACTGTATGAAAATTGAAAAACATTAGATTATGAAAAGGTAAATAAATCTTATTTATTTAGTTTGGGCTTTCTAAACAGGTTGGTTTAGTAAAACGAAACTAATTTCAGTCCAAGTAAACATACCTCTAATGTTGGAGTCCCCAATAGCATTGTAACCATAAGCGTTGTAGTTGCCATTGTCATATGACTTATTATAAGCATATGATGCTTCATAGTTGGAATATCTGTTCATTCTGGGGTCCTTTAAGGTTACTCGGACCAACTCTGCGTGTTCTCCTGATTTTGATAGTGCTCTTAACAAGGCGTTTGGTTCCACTTCACCCACCACTGTTGCAAGCCCTTGTTCCGCATCAATGTTCACAGAATATACCCCTTCACATCATCACTTCACACACTTTAATTAAATGACTAAAGTTGTTGGCTTTTTGCTCAAAAGTTGACTTATTTATTTATTTATTGATAATACAGTTATCGGGGCTTACGCTCCCGTAATCTTGGAGTCTATGAACTACCCTTCAAAGTCTCTAGACAATTAATCCGGATCTATTCACAGTCAGTCTCGTCAGTACTGACGAATCCAGCAAGACTTACATCACCTTTCAGGTTGCTCCTCCCACCACACGAACCCGCTACCTTCATTAACATCCTCTCTATTCTCAATCGCTGAGCAACTCCGTGAAGGTAGGAAGGAAGAATCATCGGGAGCAAGACCTCCCGCCTCTCCCCTAAATGTGCCTAGTGGGATTCTATCATTTTCTACCCCTACCACGCTAGTTCTCTTAATCTCCATGAACTAATTATATTGCTATTTAATCAAGAAAAGGGTGGAGTTTAAATACCAGAAATTGAACTGAGCACTTCCATGAACTTCACTTTACATTCACGACATTGCACGTCTACTTTCAAGACACAACCCTACTTCTCCAAATTAAAGAGATTAAAATGAAATAATTAATTAAGGAATATATATAGAATATGAATGGTGAAATAAAAAGTGAAATACTCCTATTTCTAGTGGTCACATACCGCTTCCGCTTTAGGCTCCATTTCAGCACCTTGGACAATTTGAGTCGCTATTACATGCAAATGAAAGATGGATAAATACTTTATTTTTTAGACCACTTTACTCGTCCCGTATAACTTTAATTAGTCTCCATATTTAGATCTATATATATTTCATTTATTTACTGATTTGTTTCTTTAAATAGCGTTATTGTAAAGATAAAAAGCCACCGCTTTCCCTTTAATGGATTGTATCTTAATTATCTGACCAAAACAAACATCTCCAATGCTATAGTGTGCACGGTGCACATGTGACATGAAAGATAATCACATAAATATTATCAAATAAATTATCCCTCTCCTTATTTGAATGATTTTATAATATTTTGGTAATTTTTCCCCTGCAATGTCAACTGAAATGTCAACATCTAGACGGTCTCCTTGACATTATGGAGAAAAACTTACCAAAACTGCATAAAAACATTCAAATAAGGAGATAAATAATTTATTTACTAATATTTATGTGGCTATCTCTCATGCCACATGTGCGCCGTGCACATTGTAGCACTGGAGATGCTCTAAGACAACTCTACTCAATTTATTTGTAAATTTGATGGAAACTAAATTCAGAATTACCTATTTGAATCTTTTCATATCAATAATTTTCGGATTTTAACAGACAATCTTGAAATGATCCGATTTCGAATACAAAAAAACAGGAGGCTTGTCACGGATTTTGTCACGGCCGGGATCTGTGACAAACGTCCGTGACATAACGGATGTTTTTTTGTAGTGTTCCCTAAATAGGACTAAACAAAGGGATAATTGCAACAATAGGAGTTTAATGTTTAAATTCTCAATGAAGTGGATAAGGGTTTAACTTTTGACATTGTAGGTTGACTGAGTTATTTTAATCTTCCCCCTCTCTCTCTAGGGTTGCCGCCTCACGCAACACCTAGCTTGTTTTGTCCGGCGTTGTTCGCTTAGCCGAGTACGGCGTCGAGAAGGTAGTTATTATTGGAAGAAGGGGATCACAAGGAGGATTTTGGCAAGGTTCTGGCAAAAGGTTAAAGCAACAGGTTTGTATGGACAGATTCGTGGAAAAATACAAGAAGATGGCGACCGGGGCAGAGGAAGAAGAACTGGATCTAGTTGAAGCTGATGTTGAGGGTGTGGCGGATGAGCGGCGGGCGGGTCCCCCTCATGAGCCGCCGCCATGGAGTGCAAGCAAATCTAGGGTTTGGAAGAAGATGGGTGAACTGTATTTTAATTACGTTTTATTCAGTTTGTGTTTTTCTGTCGAATTGCATGTTGTTTTGGACGTGTTATTTTTTCCTAGCAGAGAAATTCTTAAATTTAGTTTAGGTGATGAGAAGTCTGGTTTGTCAGTCATTGGCTCAGTCATGCCAATTACAGGATCATCGAATGTTATTGCTTCTACAGAGGTGATAGATTCTCAGTCTGGTTCGAGTGCCGACGACAAACATAAGGCTTTTTATCGTTTTGTTTACTCCTTTTTCCTTGATTGTATTATCAGCCATGTGATGAACGTTATTTTGATTTAATACTCCCTCCGTTTCTAAAAGAAACCCACACTTTCCTTTTTGAGATGTTTAAAAAAAATCACACTTCCCTTATTTCCTTATTTGGCAAAGAAATCTACATCCAAACAGTGCCAAACAGTGTCCAGCACTGACAAACAGTGTCCAAACAGTGCCAAACAGTGTATAAACAGTGTTTTCTACAGTAAAGTCAATTTATTTCCTTAATAATCGTGAAGTCAAACTGTGACTTTCTTTTGGAAACAGAGGGAGTATATTAGTACGATTTGATGATAAAAAAATGTTTAAATTCTCAAAATAGGAGTAACTCTTCCTACTCCACCCTTCCCTTGTCCTTCATAGTAGGATTTTTTAAATAATCATTATATAACATAAAAATATTAAACTAAAAAAATAAAAAATCGTAAAAAATAAATAAAAAGTATTCAGACCTCAACCACCATCTCAGCCACCTTCCAACACCGCTACCTCCAATCGCAGGAGAAGATTGTCAAGTTGGGAAAAAATGTCATCGTGATGGCATTTTTGAAAAGAAAGCTGAATATTTTCACATAGTAAAAATAGCATCTTTATGGCATTTTCAGAGAAATGTGGCATTTTCTACACAAGATGACATTTTTTTTCGGTGAGCAGAGGTGATGGTGCTGGGCGGTGGAGGATGCAGAGGTAGTACCCTGCATAATTTTTAATATTTTTAAAGGTATTTTATTTAATTTTTTTATTTTTTTAAGTTTTTTAAAATATATTCTTTTTTTTTATTAATTTATAATTTTTTTACGATTTTTATGTTTTTATTATAAATAAAACTATGATTTTTTTTTGTATTAATAAATAAATCTAATAGAAATTATAGGTTGAGGGTAGAATAGAAAGAAGAGACATATATTGCTCATATTTTGATAATAAAAGGAGTATAGTACTAGTGTTGAATTCGAGCTACTCTTAGTCCCATTTAGGGTTACTAGCCATTCTTTGTTTGAAAGTTTTTTTAATTGATTCCGTAATAGTTTATAAACTAACTACGTTTATGAGTTTTTTAGTAACTGTTAGTTTTTAGTAACTGAAAAGATCTTAAAAAGAAAAGGCAGTAGCTGTTTGGTAAAAAGCCAACTGTTTGATTTAACCTTGTTTGGTATACAAGCTGTTAGGAGTAATTAATGTTAGAAGCTACGGACTTATCTGAGATGCTACTCACTGTAGCATCTCAAAAAAGATCTTTTATGTTTATAAAAGTTCTTAAAAATTGGCGTGCCAAACATACAACTAGAAGTTTTTAAAGACTTTTTAAATAGTACAAAAGCTAGAAGCCAGGAACTTATGCCCTCCAAACATAGCCTATTATGGTGTGTTCGGAACATACCATATTTCCATGCATTGTTACCTGCTTTATTTATCATTTTGGTTTTATGTCATCATATCATTTGGCTGATCTCACACCTTAAAAAGATGAGATTTTGTCATTTTCATATTGTGTGTATATGTGAACGAATGTCTTCATTAATATCTATGAAAGAAAGGATCTCCTTTAGTGATCCATCTATTTGGGGCAGATAATAAATCTTAATAGTCTCATTTGCCTATTATCATATATACGTTTTCTCTTGCTTAATTAATATTTTCAATGCAAGTATTTTGAAGTTCTTTATTGCTTTGAACGCAAAGTTTTTAAGTGACGCCTCACATCTATTAGCGCCTATATGATATCATTTTACGCTTTTTAAAACATCGAATAATCTATTAAAATAAACACATTTAAGTAACGAATACCCACAATTATATATACTCGTTGCTCGTTAGGGCAGTTATGAATTGCATAGAAATTACTACTGAGTGACGGTGGGAATTACTCAATGGACGAATAGAATTATGTTCATAACTATCTCTGGCCTGTCACATTGTCATCTCTACTAATCAACAATAACATACCTATCAAAAAATAGGGATAGTATGCACTATCTTTTACAATAATGGTAAGCATTTGGCATTGAAATGATAGGGAAAATTACTACTAATAATCCCTTGATTTAAATCAAAATCACCAATTCAACCTTGCATTTTTTTAAAACCAATTAATTATCCCTCGAGTTTTTATCACTTTCACTATTGACCCTTTCACCATACATTAATCATATTTAACTTCACATAATTATTAAATCTAATGAAAGTATTCCAAAACATGTGTTTTTATGTTAAGATAATCGCGAATATGAACCATATCAGTTTCTCAATATTTATTCTTTTCTATCTATAGAATAATGTCATTAATACTAATTGAAACAGATGAATAACAAATAAGACTTTATTCATGATTACGTAGTACCTAGAATTATTATAACACAATTTTTTAACTAACTTTGTTGTATTACTTGTATATCATGAGCATTACTGAAGTCACTCAAGTCACTCTCATTATTGAAATGATTTTTGCTTTTTAAATTGGATATTGTCAACAATTTTTCATTGAATTTGAGAGATATGAAACTTAATTATGTATATAACATGAGACAAACAATGAGAATAATCAAAATTGACATGCCGGGGTAATTCTTCCCAAATAATAACGTTCTTACAAATTTAGTACATTTCATTTTACATCGTTGAAAAACTGTTTTTCTATTTTTCATCCCCGAAATTTGTGTTAATTTTCCTTTTTAATCCATCATCGATGATAGCAATATTTGTTTGACAACGAAACAACTCCAACTAATAAATTTCCTCTAATTCTTTGTCATGTTTTTCAATAAGTATTTAATTTTATTATTTTAGAACGACTTTAATACACATTTTAAAATGTGAATACTTTATCTTGAATTAGCCTATAAAAGTTATAAAATGTTAAATTGAAACTCTAGTAGATTTATGGAATTGACAATAATTTTTTTCCTGATTAGAGTAGTTTCATGATTAGAGGTGGAATAAAAGCAAAATAACACATTATAGGGATGACAAAAAAAAGAAAATATTTTACATGTATATAAAATAAAGGGTGTCATATTTGCAGAGATTAAAACTATATTTAAACCTACTAACAAGTAACAATGTTAAAATAGATCTATATCAAACATAACAGAGGACGGAAAAGTCTAGTGCGAGTGTGACTCAGTGACCACGCAAAGTATGCAAATTACATACACTGATACACGTATGGCATACACGGAACGAATAGGAGCATAAGGGGTGGATCCAATCAATAGTCCTAAACCGGTCCTGAACCGGAGTACCAGACCCACTATTATGCAGGACTGAGCCAGATCCAATTTTTCAGTCCACTAGGGGTGGACTCGGGCCGGGCCAACGGGCCCGGAACCGGACCAACCCGCTACTGTGCAGGCCTGGCCCGGTGAACCGGTTCCGGACCCGATTAAGGCCAACCGGCCCGGTGGGATGGCGGTTCGGGCTCGGGCCCTTCAAAAGGTGAACCGGCTCGGCCGGTTCGGGCCCGGACTGGACCAATTTTTTTTTTTTTGAATTTTTTTTAAGTTTTTGGGTTGGGCTGGGTATTTTGGGCCATTTGAGGTGGTTAGGGTTGGTTTGGGGGTGAGGGGGAGGGTTGGGGGTTAACTAGGAAAAGCAGGGGTTACCCGGGCCGGTTCCGGGCCTCCCCTTCTTGAACCGAGGCCCAACCGGGCCTCGAA